CTATTAATATTGATGGGCAGCCCCAGTGGAAGGGGGTTGACTAAACAATGGGGGAGCTGATCCTGCCTCTGCAGAAGCTATACAACCATCTCCTGCCTCCTTGTGGTTTTTGGTTTTTTGGGGGGAAGGGTTTAGGGGATGGGTGAGAGGAGGGCAGGGCGGTGGCCCTGGTGACCTGGAGGGTGGGACTTCTGATTTGAGCTGGATCACCTCCTTCAGGCGGAAACCAGTCGTTGAGGTTTGGCTGTAACCTCCAGACTCTGCTTTTTTGGAGTTGGGATTTGCCAGGTAAACCTGCAGAGAAAGGCTTGGAGCAAGGCTGCCTGGGTAAGCACTACCTTTACTAGGCTAGGGACCAGAGTGAGTAACTACCTCTGAGCGTTGGCTTTCTTAACTGAAAAACGGAGACAAACCTGGGAATGATTTTCTAAGGTTGTTGTGAAGTTTGGATTAAACAATCCAAGTATCATAGTTTTGGGTTTCTGTGTCAACAAATTCCCATGATAATCCCATGATGTAGAGTTTACATGGCTTTAAGCCAGCAGGTAGGGGAAGGGGCTGCAAAACAGCATCTCCGAATGCAGAGCTGAACTGTCAGGAGTGATGAGGAGATGGTTCAGAGAGGAGAAGTAAGTTGCCCAAGGTCACATAGCTAGTGGATCTTAGGGTCTGAGTCTCATTCCTCTTCTCTTGGCTGCTATACCTGGGACCTAGCACTACCCCTATCCCCGAACGCTAGTCCTTTCTGTAGCTGTGCCTAGAGGGGCACATTTAAGGAAGGTGGCTTTGCTGAGTGGTCACCCCAGCTGCAGAGCGGCGTCCACGAAAAACGGGTACCGGGGTCCCCAAACGATCGTCTGTAAATAGCGGGGGTGGGGAAAGCTGCCCTCGTTCCCCCACCCAGCCGGGGCTAGGGGCGGCCGTGGGCGGCGGCGGCGTCCCCTGGCGCTGGCTCGCGCTTCCCTGTCGCCGCCTCGGCCTCCCTCCGCCTCCCTGGCGGCCGCCGCGCCGCGCCGGTGTTCAGTTTCAGCGCGGGGATGAGCGCAGGCTGCGCCCGGCTCCCCGAGGAAGGAAGGCAGCGAGCGAGGGCCTCAGCGTCCTCGGCTGGGGCCTGGCAGCGCCGTGGAGGGGGCTCGGCTCGGGTCGCCGGGGCCGGGCGCGCGTCGAGCCTCCGCCGCCGAAAGGGACGCCCCGGAGCCGCGCCGCCGCCGAGGGTAACCGCGGGCCCGGGCTGTCCGGGCGCCCCGCTCCTTTGTGGCGCGCGGGGCGGGGTGTGGGTGGCCTCCCGCCCGCAGGCTGCACGGCTGGCGTCGCGGAGCAGCCCTTTGTGTCTCCCCGGGCTGATGTGAGTGCGCTGTGTGCGCGCGCTTGGCACCTCCAGCCCGCCACCCGTGCCAGCTTCCCTCCTCCCCCATCAGCCCTTTGCCCGAGGGGCGACCGCCTGGGTCGTGGGGGGAGTTTCGCTAAGTTGGAGAGGAAAGGGTGGGGCGGGGCCGTCCCCTCGCAGACCCCACGGCAGTGCCCTAAAGTTGGTGCTGCAGGTGCAGCGACCCCTCCTGCCACGCTCCTCCCGGGCAGCCCGGGCCTTGCAGGGCGGGAACCCCCACCCAAGGGCTTAGCTCAGGGGCTCCCAATTTTCAGCTAACTTGGAGGGTGCCTTCCTACACCGAAGCCACCTGGGCTAGGGGGTACTCGGGGGTGTGGCTTTCCGGGCAGGGGGCGGCGGAACCCTGGCTAGCCGCTGGCCGCGGTGAGAGCTTAGCGGTGGTGGCACCGAGCCGAGCTGGGGTGCCCATGTGACTGCGGTGTGCTTGGGAAGAGGAAGCTATAGAGGTCAGTGCAAAGGCGTCATGCCAGAGCAAGCGAGAGCCAGGGGGGAGACCCGGAGTCGTCAGTGAGGCGCGCGGGAGCCAGGGGTGGCCTGCTGCCTACAGGGACCAGCCGGGACAAAGCCGTCCTGTCACAGCCATCCTGTCCTCCCTAACGCTTAAGATCTCTGGGTGGGAGGGGCGGCCCAGACCTGGCAGCCAGGAAATGAGGGACATTGAGAGGAGGGGCCTGTCTAGGAGAGGCAAGTCTGGAAGTGTCCCCCAAGCCCCCAGGTGCTGGAGGGGCACCCAGAGGGCAGGTCAAACACAGGCTCAACTTGGAGAACTTTCCTGCGCACAGCAGCCTGTTCACAGGGCTTCTTGATTTCTGCACATGCTGGAGAGGTTGAGGCAGGTGGGCAGGGTAGGGGTGACCAGTTTGTCCAGGCAGCCCTGGCGCCTGGAGTCCAAGAGGTATGCTCCTGTCCTCTCCGCTGTGGGTGCCTGGTGGGTGTCCAGGTGCAGACTCAAGGGAGCGGGTTCTCTCAGCTCCACCCCACACACTTAAATTGTTTTCCCTAGACTGTGTTCATTTTCATTTGAGGCCTGGAGCCCGTGGAAAGCAAGGTTACATTAAAAATAAGAGAAGAAAAAATCCAAGACCAAGAGATGATTTGGGGAAAATGAGGACTAATATTTTGAAGTGGTGCTTAGAGAGAAGAGGCCAGTGTGGGCCAGGGGGTAGGGTGGGGTGGGTTAGGACCCCTGACCCCTTTCCTTGGATAGAAGAGGGTCACCCAGGTCTTCTGACTGGGGACTTGGCCGGGTCCACATGATCCTCAAGTGTGCAGGATGTGGATCCCAGAGTCGGGACTTTAACCACCCCAGAGTCAGCTCTGCAGCCTTCGTGACAGTCTTGTATCCTGCGCTGTCAACTACACCCCTCCAAAGGGGTTGCTAGGCAGCGGGGCTCTGATGTGCAGGGAGGCCTTCTGATTTGTCAGCCTCCTGCAGACACATGGTTAAGGCTCTTTCCAGCCTATCGGGAGGAGGGACGCGGGGCACACTGCCTGCATACTGCTGAGCCCCGGGTTTACCTGAATTTGAGGTGCAAAAGGCAGCCCCAGGGAGAGGGCCCCTGGAGTCCTCCACCTCTGACCAGCTCAGCCCCAGGCCCCCATTATCTCTGTTTCACTTGCTGCTTGCTGGCTCCTCCCTGCCCAATCCTGCCCCATCCCTCCCCTCTTTCCCACACCATGGAAAAGCAAAGTGCAGTGGGAAAAGAGGTCAGTGGGATAAGCATGTGTATGTGGGCTCCAGAGGTGCCAAGGTGCATGGGCTTGAGAGGTAGGGAGGCTGCCCCTCCACACTGCCTGGGGCTCTTGTGGAAAGGGGTGAGTAGCAGGGAGGGGACCCTGGCCCTGTCATCTGCAAGGCTTGGACTTGGAAGCCTGCTCTGTGCCCTCTCCTCATCAAGCTCTGTACAACCCTAGGAGGGCAGCAGTTGGGGGAGAAAGGAGAGGTCTGGGGTGTTTCTGCAGAAAGGATGGGCTTGTAGCCCTTGCTAGCGCTCAGAAGGGGACTCCCAGCTGTGGGTTCCCTCTGAAATCCACTGCCTCCACCTGAGCTTCTAAGGCAGGGCTCTCCTTCTCTGTTCCCCTCTGTGTGGCCAACGCATTCCCCCACCCCCGCCACCCCAGAGTCTTCTCTTAATTTCTTTACTTTTTTTTTTT